AGCCCTGTCATTTTTTCAGGTCACCTCGCACTGAAGTTGAGGCAGTTTTGCTGCTGCAGCCTTCTCTTCAGGAGACAACCACAGAAGTGGCTCTTAGATTTCTGTTTCATTTTATTTATCCCTCCAAGACAGCGGAGACGACTTTAAAAATCAAAACAAAAGGATAACTTGAATGAGGGCTGCAACCACTTCCAGTGCGGTGGGTCAGCAGCAGCAGGACGGGTAATGAGCGGGGATGCTCCTGTCTGTGTGTTTGAACAAACCTTCCTTTGAAAAACAGAGAGGCTCGTACCTCTGGGACCTCATTGCCAGGTAGAAAACAGCAGCACTTTATTATCAGCAATTGCCGGGGTGGAGATGAGAGCCCTTTCCAGTGCTTTTCCCCCAGTGCTCCTAAAGATGCCTTTCATCACCGCTGCTGATGAGTTCTATGTCTCATCCGATGCTTCGCTGCCACCTGGCACTAACTGATATTTACTCAGAGTAAAAGTCAACCCTTTATTTCATAATCACCGTTTGGGTTTCTTCACCCAGAAATACCATCACTTCTCCACACTGGAGAAATCCCCCCCAGACACAGCAGGGATGCAGATTGGCATGGCTTTTCCCTATAAGGCCACTGCCCTGCGCTTTGGGATGAGCTTCAGCCCCACCTCTGTCCCTCTGTCCATCCGCACCGCTGGAGCTCCTCATGATGGATGGAAAAGCCTGGCCATGGATCCAGCACACGCAGTTATATGCCATCCATAAACGTGAGGAATAAATTGCAATCAGCAAGCTGTAGATCTGGGTGGAGAAGCTAATCTTTGCACTAAATTACCAGACTTACGCTTTAATGATTTTTACCGGCGTTTCGTGGCGCCGCTGTTTATTACAGCGGAGCAGCTCGGATGGTACAGCAATGAAAAGCAGTCCGTGAGACCAGCCGGGTTAATGAGACCATGGTGCATCCCCAAGGGAGTGATGGATGGTGATGGGGATATGACTGGTTCATCGCTGTCCTGCCCTGCTCGCTTTCATGCATCGCTGTATCTCCTTGCTGCTCGTTGCGTATCCAAATGATGGTACCTCTTCCTGCAGTGCACAAACGAGACCTTGAGGACATCAAATTACAGGCAGCAGCCACACAGAGGCCCTTGCTCTTGCAACGAGGGAAGCTGCAGCTTTTTGTTGGCTCCTGCCTTTGCAGATTCTCCCTTTTTCTCTCTGACTCGTGGAAAATACGCATCGAGGGAACAGTTCCATGGGAAACGCTTAAATGGTGTGATTTACATTGTAGCCTGCCCCTTAAAACTAGATTAAGGGCTCCGTGATACCCTGCAAAGTGCTGAGCAGACAGAAGGCAGTAAATGAGCACAGCCTTGATTAGATCCGAACCAACAGTCTTGAAGTAAAAGTTTAAGGCATAAGACTGTTAAGCAATATATTCACCATATGGTTTGTTCAAACGCAGCCGTGTGCACGCTTCCCATCCGCTTGTTATTTGAAGGTATTGATTTTAGTGGAGTAATCATACAAAGTGATTTGTTTTAATACATCACTTTCCTTAGCGGTGTGCCGTGCTTCTCACCACTGCAGATTTCATTGAATGTTTCCCAAAGCTTTTTTTATTTAAGAAAACAGAGCAAATACATGATCTTCATATTGAAAAATGGATATGGTGGGTTTGTTTCGGTTGTTTCTCTCTGAGGAATGGCTCTGCTGAGGGTAAATGAATAAGCAATAGCTGCGTAAAGGAGCAATAAATAACGAGGAACTCATTAAGTGCACTCACAGGCAGGAGTTTGCCTGAATTTATATATATACAGTGGCATTGCACACTGCTGGGTGCTCTGCTCTGCTCCCCCATCGTCTTGAGACCGCTCATATTTGCTCAGTGCTGAACGTGCTTCCAAACTTTGGCATGGGAACGGATAGGTGAGCACAAGGTTTTGTTCCTTTGATGGGGTTCTGTGCAGAAACAGTCCTCTAATGCTGCACGTCCTCTGGGTCAGTAGCGTTGGTGTCTTGGGAGCATGGCAGGGAACTGAATTATTTCTTCTGTTCAAAATAGCAGCTTTTAGGAGCTGGGGAAATGACTACACCAAAACTATTGTGTGCCATCTGCCTGCTGAAATACTTATAGGAAACATGTTTCCTGGCGTATAACTTCCTAGCCATATGTCTATTGCATCATTCACAATTAAATTAAATCACCCTTAAATACTTGGCCAAATTCCCAGCCGATGCGAACAAGCCTTCATCACCGTGCTTGTCTGAAATGTGGGCACTTGACCCCTCGAGTGTTTGGGTCAGATTGTCTCAGCCATTGTTAACCTCGGGCAGCTGATGGCGACGGCGTCGAGATGATTTTTAACTGTAAAATCCAGTTATGATGCTGAGAGGAGGAAATAATTTCGCGGCGTTCATTTGCATCGATTCGCTTTGGGCAGAGGATTCAATGGAGAGCCACGTCCATGAGAAGAAGTGTTGCCTTCTGCTCAGAATCATAGAATCATAGAATCACCAAGGTTGGAAAAGACCTAAAAGATCATCCAGTCCAACCGTTCACTGATTACCAATAGCTCCCACTAAATCACGTCCCTCAACACAACATCCAGCCTTTAAATTTAATAAGCTTTAATCCAGTCTCAGTGAACAAACAGAGGGAAATCAGCAGAGAACGTGGCTACAGCTGGGTGTTCTGCATGTTCACTGTGTGCTCGGAGGTCCGTGTGTCCCCATCTATGGGCAGCCAAAGAGATGGGACAGTTCTTTGGGGAGGGACAAGGGTGCCAGGACCTGCCCTGTTCCTGCTCCAGCTGTGGCAGCTGCTGGTGATGCTCATTGGGTGCTCAGTGGATGCCACCGCCGCCATCTGACATCACTCCTATGGGCAAAGCAATGGGTGAAAGCACCTCGAGGTCTTTCATCTGAACCACCATAGGTCCATGCTTTCAATTGGAGAGATCTTCAGAGGTTTTTTCATCTTTTTTTGTATTATTATTCCTCATTTTGAGGATGTGTTCAATTTGCCCATTGTGGCACCACGCTTTAGTGAGTCACCATCCTGCCACGAGCTGCACGGCATGTTCTGATGCACTTGGTGCAAGCAGTGGCAGTGGGAATTAATGCAAACCCACACCCTTGTCACAGGGAGTTTCATTTAAATGCAGCCCAGCCTCCCCTGGAAGCTGAAGGCGTTGGGTCTTATCCTGGTGTCTGGCAGGCCTGGCCACTGCCTATTCTTAGCCCAGCCCTCTATTTTTAGTTTGTTTGTGAAAGGTGAGACATGACTGGCAGCCAGACCCGGATGATGCTGCTGGTCCCTTCCATGCAGCAGCCGGGGCAGAGGGAGAATGGCAGGAAATGGGGCCAGCGGATGGGAGAGGACAGGAAGGGACATTGGGGACTGGGGCTGTGGGACTGAGATCTGTGGGGCTGGGGTCTGTAGGGCTGCAAGGTGGGATAGGAGGGATTGGAGGCATCTGCACCGTGGCCAATGCCGTTGCGGAAGTGCATTAATTTCTGTTCAGCTGTTCCACTCTGCAGAATGGAAAGTTGTTGGTTCGTTTTGTTCTGTCCCTGTGCTTCAACTTCATATCAGTGCTCAGACAAACCATTGCACAGGAGTATTCCCGAGCCCCAGCCCTACTGAGGCTGTTCCCAACACTTTGCTGTGCGGTGGCCCTTTGGTTCTCACCAGTGCTCTTTGGTCTTCCCAGGAGCTGAAACTTGACAATTTCAGTTTTCGTTTCCAATTGTGCTCTGCAAACCAAATCCTCACTTCAGTAAGACAGAAATGAAAACATTTTCCTATTATTTAAATTGGACCCTTGCCTCTATCTACTTATTTCATCTTTCAAATGTATTTTATAAGCTGATATGCATGCAGACCTGTGTTTGCACTGAGTCTTGCATTTACAAAGCATATATGTGTTATGAGGAGGGGGAAAAGAGCAAATGCTGGGTGCAGAGCTGCACTATATCCAAGCTTAGGTTTTACAGACCACAGTTTACCAGGATATTTCATTCTCAATGAAACATAATTCTATCATCCAATACAAAGAAAAAGTCTAAAAGCACGATAGAAATCTTTATATAGAGGCTGGAGCACATTTTTTTAGCTACAGATGTTTCCTTCCAAGAGACTTTTTCCTGCCCTAAGCCAAAAACAAAAGCTGCTGGAATTCTGTCACACCACCAAACGCGTACCGTGGAAATGCTGTCTGGGGATCTCTTTGTACATAATACAACTGATTCTTTTTTTTCCTTCCCTTTGATCCGTTGGCAGACTGGAGCCATGTGGCCATAGAGGTGCAGTGGGACATCCACAAAAGTCAGTCTATCCACTGAACGCTTTATTGCCCGTGGTTTTCATGGCCACCTCATTTTTGTTTCCTGGTGACAATGACTTTTCCAGTGATGGCATCATTCAGTCAGACCAGGAGAGGAAGAATTCTGACTTCACTGGGGTTTGGGTTCTCAAATGGCCATCGCTATGCCACTGCCACATGGTCACCTTCAGCCTGGGACTAAGAGTGGGGTCGGTGTTTCTACATTGCTATCCATGTTTCTGTAGGGTGCCATTAATGGAAATCAGCTCCACAGAGGTACTTCTTCATCTCAAGTCCATTTTCTGCTCCAGGCTTTAAGCAGAAGGCTTTGCCTGTGAATTCTGCTCTCTCGTAGACCTCCCCTAAATCTCATTCAGCTCTCAGTTTGACCAGAGTCAATTTAGTGAAGATAATGGAATTACCTCTCTTCAGGTCAGTGATGATTTCACATCCTTGAATTCCATGCTAAATTTGCTGAGAGAATCTCAGCTTCAGGAGGCATTTTTCAGCATTCTCATTTCCTGGGGGTTCCCCATACCCACTGGGGGTGGGTTTGGGTGGATTTGGAGCAGCTCTGCTGGGCTGGAGCCCCTTTGTGCTCTCAGGAAAGGGTTAAAACAGTGAGGGCTGTGGACTCCTTTGCTGGGGGAGATTTGTTCCGTCTGTTTGTTTGTTTGGAAGTGCTGGCAGGAAAGCAGGGAGGAGAAAATTACCTAAGTGATAGCGAGGTTGCCATGAACTCTATAAAACCGTGGGATCGAATCAGGCAAACTCCACCTCGCCGTCTTGAACCAATGCACAACTCCTGACTTGAAACCCACCCCAGCACCGAGTGAGCTCAGGGACTTGAACTCCAACCAAGCACATGAGCTCAGCAGTGCTGCAGAGCTGAACCCACGAGCGGTCCCAGCAGCACCCAGAGTTACGGGGAGCCCCGAGTCGGAATGCTGTGCAGGGGAAGCGTGCACATGATGAAGTGGAGGCAGCTTTTCTGGATCGCGTTCTGCCTTGTGAAGTTGTCTGGTGAGTCTGCGGGCTGCAGAAGAGATCGGGGATGCAGCTGCTGGGGAATGGAACGGCGTGGGAATAATGCATGGGGCAACTGCTTTGTGTCTTTGGAAAGGGTGAAGCGTGGGGAATGCGTTTTGTTGGGCATGTAGTGGGAGCGGAGCAGATTGCAATTTCACATGAAGAGCACCTGACTGATGTTCTGCAGAGCAGCGCTGCACTGTGCGCCCTGCCCAACACACGAGGTGCTGCAAACAGAATGCTGCAGGGCTGGGAAGGACAGCAGTCGAGATGGGAGAGCTCCCTAACGGTACTGCAGATAACACAGGGGGTGCAGATGCAGCTCAGGACACCCCTCGCTCTGCAGCGGTGTAAATCTGTTCTGTGGCAGGGACTGAACGTTTTGTGAAAATCGGATGAGTCTTAAGTATTAAACTCTCCCATTCCAACTCTTCAAAGTAGTCATCGTCTAAAATATGCATATACATATTAAGAAAGGGTTATTCTATATGGAAATATTATCATTTTTGTCCCAAGCCCAACAACCACAAAGTAATAAAAAAGTGCAGCAGCGCTCCGTGCGGGCGCAGAGTGCTGGGACAGCAGCCAGGGACCCGCGGGTGTCATCAGATGCAATTCTCCCAGCTCCTGCCAAAGTGAGGGACTGCCTCTGTTGAAGGAATTTGCTGTGTTTTGCTCTTCTGTTCCACGGCGCTCCTTTCCCTTTGCTGCTGGGGTGGATTTCTCACCCCGGGAGCTGCGCTGCCCTGCCTGCTGTGTTCATGGCACAGAACGGAGCCTCGCAGGTGGGGTGAGCTCTGGGCTTCTGGCCATGCTCAGCTCCACACCTGTGTGGGACAGAGGAGCTGTGTTTTGGATGCTCCCAATGCAAGCGCTGCTGGCCCATGTCATGTTCAGTCTTTTCTGCCAAGCTCGATTTTGTTTCTTGAATGTCGTGTTGTTGGGAAGCATTCTTTCTTTATTAATTGTTTTCCTGCAAGATCCAGAAAAGCTCTACAAATCAGTGATGCAAAGGAGGTTTCCAATGTCCACGTGCAGCCTCTGGTGCCCTGAGCCCGATGGAGCGCTCCCGCAGCCCCACACCCATATCCTGTGCAAGGAGGGATGGGGGAGGGCAGGGATTTTATCAGATATTTCCAGAGGGAAGAGGGCTCCACCCGCCCCAGTTCCTGCCACATGGCCGGGAGCAGCACGGCTGGGAATGTGTGAGTAATGCAGGACGGAGCTCCTCATTGCAATCCCAGAGCTGTGGGTCCCAAGGCGCACGGGAGGTGTAATTAAAGTCCAGGGAATCCCTCTGGGCTGCACCTTCTGCCTTGCAGGGCTGCAGGACAGGACAGAAAACGACTGTGAGCGCAAAGCAAGGCGTTTTTTTTTTTCAAGGCGTTTCCTGAGCTTTTGGCATTGTGGAGTTCTGCTTTCTGTTGGACCCGGTTTAGCAAAGCTGCCAAAAACGTGTGTGCAATAAATGGCCGCTTCAGGGTGGACCCTCCAGCTCACGTTTGGATGCTTATTTGTCTCGTGAGTTGCAGTGCTGCAGTAAACCTCACCGTGATTTCCGTAGAAGCAGCTGCATGTGCCACAATGGAGGGAGGAAGAGAGCAGCGCTGTGTGATGCATCTTCTTGCAAACTGCACCCAGCAGTAACCCAGGCTTCAATCTGTGACATTCGGCGATGAAAAGGCTTTGATCAGAAATACCTCAGGTGCCATGCAGATGTCTGGAACAGTTCACAGGTGCTGGGGTGGCTGTGGTGCTTTGGGAGGTCACCTCAGTTCCAGTGATGTAAAGTTTCCGGCTGATTGCCATGCAAACACAGAGCTGTACGCAAAGCCTGGCTTTAACTTTGCACTACTTCAGTTCTGGGCACAGGGCTCACGCCTCCTGGTTTTGATTTGTTAAAATTCTTTAGAAAAACTCAGGGATGGGATTGGCTGCAACTGCCAGGGAGGGGAAAGACCTTCCCTGAGAGCAGAGCCTGACTCCAGCCCTGACCACCTGCACCCACCCCATCAGAGCCCCCAGCAGCTGCAGCGTTGCTCCCGAGCAGCCCCACAGGGACTTCTGAGCAGCAGCACGGCCTTCAACCAACAACCCAGGTCCTCTTGGCCTCCTCCAGCTGAGCACTGATAGCTTGAGTTAGGAGAAGTTCTGCCAGGACGATGCTGAAGTGCACAGTGCTGAAACGCACAGCGCTGAAATGCACAGCACCCAAATGCACAGCATCCTAATGCACAGCACCCAAATGCACAGCACCCCAACAAATGGCACCCCAAGGCACAGCACCCCAAGGCACAGCACCCCAAGGCTTGCTAAGGGCGCAGTGCACACCCAGCCCCACTGCTGGCATTGCTCAGCCCATGTCAGCACTGCTCCCTGTGGAAGCGCTGCTGGGAAGGGTGAGGTAACGCTCCTTGGAGCTGTGCTGGGCAGGAACACAAACGAAACAACGTATTTTATATTAGTTTGTCTTTAGTGTCTGGATAAGAGTCTTCAACAGCAACAGCCCTGCAGGAGACACTGAAGCAGCTTGCAAAAGTGGAAACGGGAATGTAAAAGGTTAAGAGATGGGAAGAAATGTGTTTTCACTGACTCATGAAGTTCACAGCAGAAAGGAAAGCTGGAAGTGTCATCTCTGGAACACACCAGGAAGCAATATATAAACTTTAAGTTAGAGCAACAAGCGACTCCCCAAACATTCTGCTTTACCTCCAAAGATGTTTTTGCTCATGAGTCAGAGCCTGAGCCGCAGCCAATGGGAATGTTTCTATTTACTTTGACACGCTGCCTGCGGCTGCAGATCCAACTTTTGTTTCCCGAGGCACACAGAGATCTCTTCCAAGGCCTCAGTCTTCTTTCCAAGGATTATCGATTCAAGCTGCTCCACAATCCAGCTTTGTGCAGCGCTCCGATGGAGCTCAGGGTGTGCAGGATGAGGGCAGAACTGGGCCCATCCTCGGTGCTCGTAGAGCTTTGGTGCTCGCAGAGCCTTTGATGCTCTCCCAGCTGTTTGCTCTCTGGACCCATGTGAGCTCAAGGCTCAACCTCCCTGTGCAGCTATGGGACAGGGCTGGATGGGGGCCTGGCTGCAGCCCCTAATGCTTCTTCTCCCCCAGGTTCCGCTGCTGACAGCCCCACAGACAGCTTAACTGCTGTGTCCTTGGCCGTGGCAACAGCACAGAGCAGCACTGGCAGTATGGCACCCACCGGCGTCATGGGCAGCACTGCACCGACACAGGACAGCAATCCTGGTAATCACTGTGTTGTTCATCAGATTCACTCAGTGCGTGGGTACGATGTGTCCTTAGAAACCCAGCGGTCAGAGAATGGGCTCAGAAAAAAGAACCCACTGGGAAAACCCATTGCTTTATCCCTGTGCAGCCATCAGAGCCAAGCAGCACGGCTCGGGCTGCCTGCAGGCCTGGTGGCTCAGCCCCATTCCCTCCATCGAACAGATAAGATGGGATGGGACGATGGCCTCCTTAATTTTTTACCCCAGCTCTCTGATGGCTCCAGGTCAAGGGAGGGGGGGGGGGTCGGCCATGGCACCCTGGCAGTGTTGCAATGTGTGCCCAGGAACTGAGCCCACTGTGCACAGATTATGGAGCTCATGTAACAATTAGGCAACCTAAGCAAGCCTAATGCATTTCTTACACGGCCAACGCCGCGTTCTGATGCTGCTGGCTATGACAAATCAATATTGTACTTCAGTCAGCACAATGCCACGCACTGATTGCAGAGGACTTAAGCTTTTCTGTGCATCTTTCTCACTGCATTTCTTCCAAACAGCAGCCACTACTCAACCCACATCAGGCAGCCCCAGCTCCCCAGGACTCAGCAGTGAGCACAGCCCTCAGTCCAGCACCCATCCCAGCGCCCATCCCAGCACCCAGAGCAGCACTCAGACCAACCAGACCCCCACACCGCTGCTGGACAACCATCCAGAGGACACAAGCAGTGAGGCACCCACCACGCTGAGCCCAACACCGCACCCCAGAACAACAGCAGCTGCACACCCATCTGCATCAACACTGCTCAGCTCCACAGCCACCCCCAGACTGACGGCGGTCTCAGAGGCCACAACACAGCTGCACACATCTGGTGGTGTCAGCAAGGTGAGAGGAGGGGGGTAGGGCTGCACATGGTCTGCATTGGTGATCCCACGCAATGGGGAGAGTGGGTGGCTTTGCATCAGGGCTGTGAGCAATTACAGAGGGTGTCTCGCTCCCAGCCCTGTCTGGGTCTGCACTGTGGCCTTCATGGGTAGGGAGGGATGAACAAAGCTGGTGATGCAGTGCATGCACCTTGGCCAGGATGAGTGAGCAAAGCACAGGTGCTGCAGAGCCCTGCAAATTGGGGGGCAACCCAGGAACCTTCAGCACTGTTCTGTGAGCTGCTGAGCAGAGGAGACAACACAGGCATTCTGGAGGGGTCTTCTGCTTTCAAAATCATCCAGCTCTGCATTTTGGACAGCACACACTACTCCAGTGGTTTGCTAATCCCAACACTGCTTTCTGACTTCCAGCCCATCACGTGCCACAACATCAAAGAAGTGAGAGACGGCGGAGCCCTCTGCCTGCGGCTCAACGAGTCCCACACCTGTGTGAGTGCTGCCCTACCTTTACAATGGGGAGGCACATGGGAGGTGGGGGGGGGTCACCAGGGGTGGGTTTTGCATCACTTGCTGTCTGGAGGAGATGGGATCGCTGTACCGGGGGTCGGTTTGGGGTGGAGAGCTTTGCACTTTCATCCCTGAGGGAAAGCATTACAGCTGTGCCAAATAAAAGGGGAGGACGGCTGCTGCAGCCCCTGGAGGATCCCAAAGGGATCCCAATGGAATCCAGCTTTCTGGTTACATAAATCCTCCTTTTTCCTCATGAAGCTCTGGGGTCTGTTTGGCTTCTGAAGTCTCTCCCACCACATTTAACAGGAAACTGCCTTTATTGTTCTCCTTCCTCTCCTCTGTTGGGAACACAGTCGCCTTTTCTTGTCTTGCCAGCAGCCCAGGGAAGGAGCCCGGGGGCAGAGCTGTGTCCCTGTCCGTGCTAACTCCCAGGGGAATCTCAGGCACTCTGTAACAGCCTTCGGCTTTTTGCACCAAAACCATTCATAGGAGCAAGGAAGGGGCAGCTGTGGTGCTGCTGTGAGTGGGAGCAGATGTGCTCTCCATGCAGGAGCTGCGGGAGAGCCCAACAGGAGCAGGACCTTATGGGACAGAGGCTTGGCAGCACCCTGGGTACAAATGACAACGATGAATCTTATTTTGCTGGTCAGCCATGCTGCGACCACTTTGGGTGGGTGAATTCCTGCTTGGCTTCCCTTTGTAAATTGCCTGTTACATGGCTTTTAGGGTTGCCAGTGTTTGTGGTGGTGGTGGTTTGCCAGGGTTGGTTATGAAAGCTCCCGAGTTCAGCTGCCATCTAGTGGCACCGGGCCTCCTGGCATTTGCACGGGTTGCACGAGCATGGATGGTATAGCATGCAGGATATCCTATAGGGCCGTAGCAAAGTGCATGCCCTGCTCCAAACTGCAGCTGGGAACTGATAGGAGCTGCCGAGAAGGGGCAGATCACAGGGAATGGCTTTGTGTCCTTCCTGCTGACTTTTCCCAAAGCAAATGAGCAATGAGCTGGCACCCAGCTCTGCTAATTGCAAAGGGAAACTCTGATACGTGGATGAGTTCTTTCCACAGCGTAGAAAGGAAAGTACACACTTGGGCCTCTTGTTCCATCTTGGCCTTCCTTGTCCCCACGCCAAGCTCTATTGAGACAGCTGAAACTGATTTGTTTGTTATTCTGTCGTGGATGGATCTCTGCATTTTTGTTTGCTCAGTGTGCCTGTTGGTGTGGGACTCCAGGGGAGGGCAGGCGGCGTGGAGCTGCGTGTGGGACAGAGGGGCTGTGATTGTGGCCCAGTGGGATGGGATAGGATAGGATGGAGTGGGATGGGATGGGATGGGATGGGATGGGGATGGGATAGGGTCAGTGGTTCTGCTGGCGGACAGCATCTGGAAATAGCTGCAGGGAGAAGGACAGTCCTGTCCTATACAGGGACCTGCCCATGGGAGGGAAAGGCTGCAGTTCTCCTCTTCCTCTTCCACCCAAGCGAAGGCTCAGCTCTAAGAAGTGCGAAATGCGTGTTTTGTTGCCTGGCCTTTGATCAGCAACCTAGAGAAAACACTGAAGACATTTCCTAAACAGGAAGGCAAAATGCTTCTTTGTTATTTCCCCTCCCTCCCAGCTCCTGCCCGGGATCCTGAAACAATGGGGCTCTTCAGGCTGCTCACTCTGTCCAGAGATTGGAGGGACTTGCCATGCCATTCAGAACCTAAATTTAGCTTTGTTTAAATGTCACTTGCAAGAGTTGCTATGAATATCTTAATTTCATTTATCCTTGGTTTCATGGCTCTTTGTTTGAAAACCTTGCAGAAACATTTTTTGGATACGAAAGGCTCGGATTTATGGAGCGCAATCTGTGAAGAGGATGCTCACCGTGTGCCCCCACCCTGCCAGATCAAACTCGCCACGTCTGAGGTGGACCAGGAGTGCCTGCTGCTCGTCCTCGATGGGAACACAGGTCAGGAGCTGAGCCCCAGCCATCACCACGCCTCAGGCCCCAGAGAGGGGCTGGGGAGGTGTCTGTAGGGCACCGGTTCTCACTTGCAGCCTGGGAGGAGCTCTTTCTTGTGGGGTTTTGTTTCAGCCATGGTGTTGCACCTGGAGGGGTGAAGGGGTTTGTGGCTCCTGGGCTCCTCATGCTGATGTTAACTGCAGTGTGATGCTCATTGTAATGCAGTTCTGTTTAACAATTGCAGATCCTGCTATGGATGTGCTCCGGGAGTCTCATTGGGAAAAGGTAAATGCCCAGAGAGGTCGGGGGCTGGGAGTGGGGTTTAGGCAGCTCAGTGTCAGGATGGTCTCAATGCCTGGAGTCCATTGCTGTGCCAGGCAGCAGTGAGCCCAAAATCAGTGCAACGGTGCCCCAGGATCCTCGATGCAAGCACTGAAGGTAGAATTGCTTGGAGCAGTCACTGTAAAATTGGGTAGTGTCCTCTTTAAAAAGGGCTAGATCCCAGTGATAACTCTTAGGATGTAATTGGAACTCTGCGTCTTCAAAGCATTGCGTGATGTTAATTAATTCCTGCTCTCAGCACTGCAGTGAGGCTGCTGCCGGCTCGTAAAGCTGAGCTCCAGGTATCCAAATAAAGGCAGCCAGCAGAGCTGCAGCAGCTCACAGATACTCCATCCACGCAGATGCATGCTCTAAATCTCAGGTTTGGGGTAGCAAACCTCACCATGCAGCAGCAGATACTGTGCTGTGAGCAAAGCACAGAGCTCAGGCAGCACAGCCCAGCCCTGTTTGTGTGCATCTCCCAAGGAGGTGAAGAGCAGCTTTGTTTGGAAGCCGCAGAGCAGACGCACACGTTTCCTGTTTGCGAGGCTCTTGGCTCTGTTTGGCAGTGTTCTTTTTGTTTTCTCAGTTCGGAATCAAATCCCTCGAACGGGGCAGCGTGCGGAGCCATCAGGACTTTTCTCGGAAGACACTGACGGCTTTGGTCACCTCCGGGCTCCTGCTGGCAGCTCTGGGCATGGCTGGGTACTTCCTGATGCGGCGGCGGAGCTGGAGCCCCGCGGGACAGAGGCTGGTCAGTGCCTACAGGTGGCAAAGCGCCCGGTAGCCAGGAGCCGGCGCCCCGCCGCCCATTTACTGATGCTGTAAGAAAGGCTCTTCCTCCCCTCGCTTAATAAAACGTATCAAGAAAGAAAGAAGAAATGCTCCTATGTCCATGTTACACCCTGAGCGCTCAGAACTCCTTTGCCATGAGTTTCAGGGCCTGGCTTTTCTCCTGTCATTGTTCACGGGTGGTGCTGCAGCCGTTGGAGTGCTTCGCTGTCAGAAAGGTCGCACTCCAGATGTGCAAGAGGCAGCTGGAGCCCAGCACTGCTGGGTGCAGCCCTGGATGGTGGCAATGGGGCCAGCACATGGTGGGAGCTGCTGGTGTAGATGCTGAACAGCATCACAGCACTTTTCCATGAGTAGCATAGACCTCATTGCCACAGATACGGGGTGAGGAATGAACAGAGATCAGAGGATGCACACAGGATGCACAGTGCTGGTGCCCATCCTCTGCTCTCCTCTGCTGCTGGCTTCAATCTCTGCCCACAGCCCAGGGTCACCAGGTCCTGCTGAACACCAAAGGATCCATTGCATCCCTATGGGGCCTGCTGCATCCCTATGGGGCCTGCTGCATCCCTATGGGGCCTGCTGCATCCCTATGGAAACTGATGCATTATGGGCATGTGCAGTGAGTGTGCCTGAGTAGGAGATGATGGCAGCTCCTTGCAGCAGTGTCAGTAAAGAGCCACAGAGCACAGCTCTGTATGTGCAGGTCCAAATGCATCTCCATGCTGAAGTGCAGAGCTGAGCTGCTGGAGTGTTGCTGCAAGGGACTGGGGAAGAGAAGTAGGAAACTCCCATAGCTTTCATTCCATGGTGGTTCTTCTTGGCCACCAGAGGAAAGCAGAGCCCCTCAGAGCTGGGGCAGCTCTGCCAACCCAAGGTGGGTTATCCACCAGCACCCACCCTACAACTCCTCTTTTCAGGTCCCAGAGGACAAGCACAGCTCTGGCTGCCAACAGGGCTCCATGTCCACATGGCTCTATGTTAGCAGGTGCCGGTCCTGTGCCCACAGGATGCCACCCACCTTCTGCTTGGTGGCAGAGCCGCCTTCCCCTCCCTAACACCACCTCTCCTCTTGCTGCCTGCAGGATGAAGACCACTACGACCTGGAGACTGGCAGCCAGGGCAGCCCTGCACCGCAGGAGAAGCCGAGTGCCAACGGGGCACAGGAGAACGGTGCATCCCGGAACGGCCGCGGCACCGCGCAGAGCCTGGCCGACACCTCCATGTGACACCACGAGTGCACGAGTGCCTCACATTGAACTTTTTCATCTTTTTTTTTTTTTTTATATTCTTTTTTCTCGTTTCTGTGAAGAACTTCACCGTCTCCCCGAAGCACGTTGCGCTCCAGCGCTGCTTGGGGCCGTTTCTCTGCTCTCCCTCCTTCTTCCAATGACTGCACAGGGAACTTCTTTACTGCCATCCTCTGCTTTTGTTGTTAAAAGCACACGGTGAGAAATGCAGCTGAGCAGAGGAGGCTGAAGCCACGATCCGAGTTGCAGCGTTGATCTGAGCACCAGCAGCCCCAGGATTTGGTGGTACCGTGATTTAAATAGTTAGATTGGGATTCCAGTGACACGAACCTTTCAGGTTTCAGGGATTTATGTTTTTTTATCTCGTCTTTAAGCACAGGACGTCTTCCTCCTTTAAAAGCATGGGGTGTTTAATCCCCTCCTCACCCTTTGTGCCATCTTTGACATTCCTTCGTCTCTTAGAATGTACTGAAGCTCTGTGCAACACTCCCAACGTGGCATTGAAGGCTGAAATACAAACAGACCTTGAGCTCTGCTGACCCCACCGGGGTGCAAGTAGATGTTTTAGAGTGTTTTGGGTCTCGCCCATCTCCCAGCTTGGAGATGGCATTAACACCGCTGTAGTGATCCATCATCACGTGGTCCCATCACCTCACCCTACAAAATGGAGCTTTGGCCTCCATAGGACTTTGGGAACAGAAGATGCCAAAGGGCTCCTGGTCAGACATCTGCTGGACTCTGTGATGGACGTTTCCATTCAGACAAAAACAAAGCATTTTTACTTTACAGTAACAAAAAGCCAATGCTGAAATGCCAATAACAGGAGCAAACCGAGCGCCGTTCCCCTGTGAACTGCTTCTCCCAGCCCTCATTTTAATCATCTCAGTGAAAAAAAAAAAAAAAAAAAAAAAAAAAAAAAAAAAAAAAGAGAAAAAAGAAGCATTAGAAATGAGTGTCCTCAGAGCCGCCGCGTGTTCATCCCGCTGGGACGTGGGGCTCAGGACCACACCTCAGTGAGCCCTTGTTTTGCAGCACAACGTGATGACTCAAAGCTGTCCGACACGTCTGCTGGACGAGTGACGTGCATCAAGTTATTAAACGGCGTTTGTTTGATTTTCTGATGTTTACCATGTGCTGCTAATTCCTGGAGAAATAAACGAGGCTGCAGGCTGATGGCTGGGGGCTGTGCTGACAGCAGGGTGTGTGTGAGTGCAGGAGGAAGAAGGCTTCCTCTGTGCACCCAAATAATGGTGTTGGAGCTTCACTCACCGCCTCTGCCGTGCACACGGTGGGGCTGAGCAATGGGGCAGAGCTGCAGGGCATGGACATGGGTGGGTGCCCACAGGTATCCATACCCATATCTCCACATCCATGGGCATGGATAATATGGGGTCTCTGGGTAGAGGAGATCTCACTCCTCCCTGCACGCTGCTGGAATAGTCCTGTAAAAGCAGTGGTTATTTTGGCTGCTGTGTTTTTCAGTGCATACATTGCTCAGAGATTTGGGCTCCACAGCATCTGAATTGTGCTGCCCTGGGTGTGGGCTTAGCTGTCTCCATCTCTCCCAGACCCAGGGGAGCACTGAGCTGCAGTGCCAGTAGGTCGGGGAGGCTGAGCTGGAGTCCCCCAACAGAAAGCATGGACTCAGGTGGGGTTCACTTAGATCCCAGCTCACTGCAGCTCCTTCCACATACCGACATTGAATGATTGTAGCTGCTGTGCTGTGAGGTCCTTCCTGGTGTGTGTTCTGTTTCCTTTTGGCAGGCCCTTATCTAATCAGCACTATCTGCTGCATCAGAAAAGAGAGATCTAATCAAAGCTCAGGTGCATTTTTCACAGCTCTGGGTACCTCCTACAGCCAAACTGAGACAACAACAAAGCCAGCCATCAGCTGCTGGGGCAGAACAAAAGGCTTCACAGGAACATCCTGGTGGGCACGGAGCCGAGCGGGGCTGTAGGACCAGCGCTGTGGAAGGGGCTGTGGGCGGCCCTGCCGAGGCAAAAGTGCTGCTGTTGTTCCTTCCTTATCAGATCCCTCACATCCCTTCCTCGTGGACCTTGCTGGGACTGTGGCTTTTTCTTCTGCTCACCCAGTGCTGGCACAGCCATTGAGTGTCACATCCGTGCACCAGAACGGAGCCCTGGTGCCATGCAGGCAGCCCCGGACCTTTCCTCAGGCTGAAAGCAGAGACTTTGTTCAGCAATGAGAGATACTTTTATGTCTGAGCTGCCACAGTGTTACTGTGAGCTTCAGGTTTGCTCGGTGCATTGCTGAAGCCAACCAAATTCATCAGAGCAAGCAAGTTTTAATTAAGTCTTATTAACTACTTCTCTCGGCGGATCTTCCGTGGTGCACATAGCAAAACCAGCACGACCTTGCCAGGTGAGCCCTGCACAGCAGAACAGCCCATCCCACATCGGGAGAAAGCAGCTCCCTGTTCTCCTTTCTGCTTCCTCATCCTTCTTCCATTGATGCAGAGCCCCCCAGCAGTAGGACCTGCCCTGCATGAGCAGCCCTGTCCCACCTGCAGCCCCAGCTCCTCTCCTGCTGCTCCTTGTGCTCCCCCAGGGCACCCAGCCTGTGTGGGTGCTAAAATTCCAGCTCAGTCCCTAACTCTGCCCCACTGCACTGTAACAGCCACCAAAAGCAAAGCCACATCCTGCTGAAACACAGGGGGCACCAAGATGCGCTGCAGGGCTGTTTGGAGGACACAGAAGTACCACTTCTATGTTGGATGTCACAGGTGTGTGTAGCAGAGATGTTAAGTCATGGCCTGAAGCAGTGATTGAGCACCTGGTGGGGAAGCAGGGCTGAGCCAGGGAAGCTCAGGTGCAGGCAATGTACCTGAGTGACTGGAAGAGGTGGAGCCAGGATTCACCCCTTCCCACACCTCATTTAAGGGTGGAGAGGAGCTGAGGGCATCTCTTGCTGGAGATTCCTGCACTCTGAAGCCTTCCAAATGTAAGCAGCTCTTTTTCTTTATTTCTGCATCTGTGGCTGCTGTATTTAGGCCTGTTCTCATTTGCTGCAGCCGTACCCTTTGTCACCCTGCTGTTATCATGGTGCTTTCTCTCCCATTATAGCATTACAGCATGTGAGTACCAGCACAGGCTGCAGCCTTGTGGGCCAGCGTTGCTGTGCTCTGAGGTTCCTGCACAGCTTAAAAACTGCAACAGCCGAAGCCTGGGATATATACACACATATGTATAGCAATGCTGCTATCTGCTGGCTGTGCTCTGCTAGAACAGTGGGGCTGGCACCTGGTTGCCTGTGAGCACTGCTGCCCGTCAGTTCCTGCTCTTGCATAAGGCAAACCACATCCCTGGGGTGTTTATTTTTAGCTTGTGTATTTTCTTTTTTATTCTTGTGATTTAAATAATGCATTACCTACCCTGAGTTCTTTATTTCCTATTTCTGCTTCTTTTACTCATGATTTTTTTTTCCCCCCTTAATCTTCATGTTTGCATCTTCCTTCTTTCCTTATCTATTGCCTGCCCCAGAGGCTCTCTGCTGCTTTGGCAACGTGCTAACATGTTTGGGAACGATAAGACATCTAATTAATAGTTTAATTAGCAGTACAAGGTCCTAATAGCTTATTAAAGGAAAATCATTCAGAAGATTCTTTTCCTTTTCTCGCGTTGGTTCCATACCCTTTATGAGCACGTGATAAAACGCTTTTGAATGGTGCTTGGAATGTAGCAGGGGAAGCGGATGTGTGATTTCACGGGGGATTTTACACCACTAATACCATTATATATTATTTTTTTTTCTTGTTTAAAAACAATTTAACAGCTTAGCAGAACTGTGAGGGAACAACACTGCTGTGGCGTGGCCGGTGGTCCTGGAGGAGGAGCGATGCACCGCAGCCCTCCTGGCTGCATGTGAACGCATCCTGCATTTCTCAGAACCGAATGGGTTTGTTGGGTGGGAGCCTTGGCTGACCACATCCAGGCTGCACTCAGAGCCCCCCAGCTCCTTTCCCAGCCCCCAGGCTGCAGCAGGAGCCACAGAGTCGCTCTGCTCGGATTCCAGAGGCTGCGGTGTTTTTCCTCTGACCCATACAAAGATTTCTTTCTAAATTTATCTCGGTGCTCATCGCAGTCCCACTTAGCAGCAGATTACGAGGCCGGGCCAATTCAAATGAGGGCAGGGGAGCCTGGATCGTGGCCTAGCCCTGACATAGGGCAGGATGGCAGCACGCGGGGCTGGGCTCAGTGCTGCACACCCGCACTGTGGCTGCATCCAGAGGCTCTGCTCTGCTCTCCCCTCCTGGCCCTCCGTCCCACGGGGCAGTTCCAGCACGCTGCTCCTCCTGCACAGATTGCAGCACGAAGCTGGGTGTGCTGCACGTGAGTGTGTTGCACCCCAAGCAGCCAAACATCCCTCGGTTCCCCCCCGTGTCACAGCTGCACGTGGCAGCACTGCACCCCTGCCCACCTTGGCTGCTGTCTGTAGGCTGCTCTGTGCAGAGCCCACCACGCTGAGGATGCAGGGGATGCAGCCTGGATTGAACCATCCCAGCAGAATGCACGGGTGCTGCTAATGCTGTCTGCACTCTTTGCATTCAGCAGTGCAGCCCTGCACGGGGGGTACGTTCCGTTTGGAATGAGAGGGATATTATGCAGTTACAAGGACGGCATAACGGAGAGAATGCTCCACTGGTGCCATTTCCTTATGTGCTGTCAGCGAATCACTTCATCTGCGCTGTGCCGAGTTTCCCATCCATTAAATGGGGGGTGATGTCCCCTCTGCTTCCTAAGGGGGAGCGGGAGCAGCACCTCCGATGGCTGCGGGCACAGGAAGGTGCCACGGCGACACAAAGAGCCGTAAAGAGCGAGTAAGGATTGCAGCCCTGTAGCACCGACCTTCGGAACCGGATCCCTGCTCCTCATCTCCCGATGTTTTTATTGGGTTCTGTTTGTTTATGTTTTTAATTGCAGAAGATCCCCAAATAGGTTCATCTCTACCGCTCAGGATTTAAAAAGATCTCCCAGGTCCGGATGTCCTGTGGGAAAGGAGAGGAAAAGGCTGAGCGGGACGCACCGATGGATCCGGAGCTCTTCCTTCGCCCGTCCGCCGCCCCCTTCCCGACCCCCCCATGGGCTGTGGGGGGGAATGGGGGGGGCCACGGCCTCCTGGGGCGTGTAGGCAGAGCGGGGTGACCTTGCGGTGCGGTACGGGGGGGGGAAACGGCCGCCGCTTCCGCCGCTCGGGAGCGCCGGGAAGGGAAGCGCCGGGTATCGCGGGGATCTGAGCGCTCCGGGGACGGGATGGGAGCCTCCCCTGCGCATCCCATGGACCACCCCGGCCTTTAATACCCCACCCCCGGTGCAGGTGGGGGGCACGGACAGAGCCCAAGCAGGCTGTTGCAGCTGCCGGAGGCACCTGGAGCTGGGAACTAAGAGATAATAACAATATTAATAAGTATTATTGTTATGGAAGTAGTGATATTTGGGGGATATTTGTCCGAGTGGAGCATAATAATAACGGAGCATAACAAGAACAAACTGGTCGTAATGATAATGTAATGAATAATTCCTAATATATTTTACTAATATGTGAATGCTTATTATGATCATCACTACTTCCCTGTGGATGAGTGGCCTCGCTGCCCCGCGGGGTGCACGCACACAAGGCTGCCCGGATGAGAAGCAGTTCCTTTACAGCTTTGTGTTTTCTCAGCCTTCCTTCCCAAGGACGGTTGTTCCATAAAGCCTTACAGCTCCCGCGCGATGCATTGCTGTGTTCTTTATTGTTTTCCTCGCCCTCAGAACATCCGACGCCGTTTGTGTTTGTAGAGCCTTTTAATAGCGAGGTGGCAGAGACAAACCTGGCTCGGTAAACTTGCCTTCCCCCCTAGGGCAGCTGTAGCCCAGAGAAACAGAGCGAGAGCCGCAGCTCAGCCTGGGAGCAGCGCTGTTTACAATCCATCATTGTTAGTTAATTGCTGTTTGGTTAAATATTTACTTTGGATTAAGTTCTTTTGTGCTCTTTTCTTACAAAATAAGAAGTAGGGGTGTATCTGCTGGGCTTCTTAGATGGCTTTTTTCAAGATAACTCAGCAGCAGAGAAGCTTCACGAAGTTCTTCTCCATATTTTGTGCGTGCATTTGCCCTGTAC